TCAAGGGCGCGCATTACACAGTCCCAGTTAGCAGAGTTAAAAGCATTTTTGATGTCTAATGCAGCCACCAAACAATACTTTTTTGTGCCGCGATTCCATCTCTTTCCAGCAATCGCATCCTTAGCTGTGTTGACGACCAGGTTTATTGCATCCAGGGTTGACCGTCCTTTTCGGAAACCAAATTGGTTGTCTGCCAGGAGTGGGTCGACTACTGCTTCAATTCTCTGGTAAATTATGCGTTCAAATATCTTACCCGCCGTATCTAGTATGCAAAGTGGTCGGTAAGATGACGGTTTTTCTGGTGGTTTCTTCCCTTTAGGTAACAGTACCACTCGTTGCTGTTTCCACTTACGAGGAAAATTCCCCTCCTTGAGACATGCATTATAAGCGTCTAGGAATAATGTTGGAGCTGCCTTTATGATGGTTTTTAAGGCTAAATTAGGGATTCCGTCCAATTCCGGCGCTTTATTATTCCCTACACGGTTACAAGCCTCCAGCAATTCTTCTTCAGTGACAGGTGGGATGTCGTCCAATTGGCCTGGCGCCAACTGGTAATCGAAGTTGCGTTGCTGTGGAAACAGTGCAGTGACGATTTTCTTGTTGGGGACACGTAGGTGATGGCATTTGTTGTTTTTTCAGGTGGGTCATAACCACCTTATAAGGCCTACCCCACACGTCTTTATCCACCTCGTATATAAGCTCTTTCCAGCATCTGCTTTTGCTCTCTTTGATGGCTTTATTCAGTTCACGGCGCGCCTTTTTGTACTCTGCAACCAGTTCCACAGAGTTAGTTCGTCGGTAGCCACGCTGGGATATTCTTCTCTTCTGATGACACTCTTTACGAAGGGCGCTGATATGGTCGTTCCACCAGTGAACAGAAGGTCTTGTGTTCATGCTACGTCTACGAGACATACTGGCATCACACGCCTGGGTCACTCTTTTCATCAGGTCCTTGGTCTTCTCTTTTGCGCAGCCTGCGATAATCTGGTCACTATTGAGAGCTACTAACAATGCACTTGGATCAAGCGTTTTTACCTTCCAACCAATGGTGTTAAGTTGCTTTTTAGGTCTTCTCGGGCTCTGGACGTTTAATATTTCCCAGAGAATCGCGTTGTGGTCGCTGGCTGTGTAGGTATCCATTACCTTCCAGTTGACATTACCTTTGGTGAGGCTGTCACTGACGAAAGTGAGATCTACAATAGAACTTGCGTCTCCTTTGGTGTAGGTTGGTGTGTCACCACTGTTGAGCAGTACTACTTCTAATGTAGAAAAGGCTTCTAGTAATTCCTTTCCTCGCGCGTTTGTATGCTTGCTGCCCCAGTCTACTGCCCAGGCGTTGAATGTGTGTGTGTGTGTGTGTGTGTGTGTGTGTGTGTGTGTGTGTGTGTGTGTGTGTGTGTGTGTGTGTGTGTGTGTGTGTGTGTGTGTGTGTGCCCTTGAGCTTTAAAAACCACGTCGATCATGGCTAATCCGGTCAAAATAGGTTGATTCGTTCGAGAGATAGCGTGAACGAAAGAAAACCGAAAAAACCCGAAAAAAGTGTTTTCATATAACTTCGATATTTCTTTTCGGATCGTTTTTGGTGAAATAGAATAATTTTTAGAGCTCATAAAACCGCGTCGATCGCCGCCAAGAACGTAAAAATCGGTTGATTGGTTCGAGAGATATCCTCGACGAAATATTTGGAAATAATGATTTTTTCAACATAACTCCGACATTTTTTGGAATAACTTTCAAACAGCTCTACCGATCGATTCCAAAAACTAATCATCTTTTAACATCGAAAAACCACGTCGATCGCCGCCAGTCCGGTCAAAATCGGTTCATTCGTTCGTGAGTTGTCGTTGACGAAAGAAAACTGAAAAAAGTGTTTTTTCAGAATTACTCCGAAATTCCTGGTTCGATCAAACTAAACTTACAGATTCTTCATGGGGCTTAAAAAATTGCGTCGAATCCTGCCAACCGCGTAAAAATCGATTCATTTATTCAAAAGTTATTGCAGTTTGAAAATTTGAAAAATTGTGTTTTATCAAACTTCTATCAGACTTTTGAGCTCGAAGTGCTCAAGAGCATAGAAATGCTATCGCTTTAAGCTCTGAGAGCTCAAAATAACATAAATTGTATTTTTGAGCTCGGAGAGCTTAAAAACATCATTAGTGCAATTTTAAGCACCTAGGTATGAAATGAGCGGAAAGTTGCACGGATGGCCTTCAGGGTCTACCGTTTTTCTAATTTTTTTTTGTTAAAACTTTTAAACAGATGTAACGATCCATTTAAAAATCTAATCAGCTTTTAAACTCGAAAAATGACGTCGGTTGCTGCAAGCCGCATCGTAATCGGTTGATGCTTTGAAGAGATACCGTCAACGAAAAATTTCAAAAAAAGTTTTTTTTTCAAATAAATTAAAAATTTCTTTTAGTGCTAAAAAAAAAATGCGTCAAACACCGCCCAATCTTATGAAAATCGGTCAATTCGTTCGTAAGTTATTCAATTTTTAAGAATTCCAAAAAAGTGTTTCTTTAACATAAACTTCAAAATTTTACGTCGAATCGTTCGGTAGGCATAATAAATAATTTTTTTGTACTAGAGAATCTGAGTCCACTGCTGCAAGCTCCATCAAAAATTATCAAATCGATTTATTAAATATTCACAAGTAATTTAAAAGTAATTAAAATACTAATTACTATTAAATTAATGAGTGTCGATAATTGGTACATTATTACGTTTTTAATTGGGTCAGTTGATTTTGTCAAGCTGTCAGCAATTGGTGTGTCTGAATTTACTTCATCAGCTTTAGTATATAAGTATAGTGCCATCACAAAATTCATCATATTCTACCAAAATTATGAAAATTTTTTTATCGGTAATAGATACCGACATCAACAGCTTACCACCGAAATTTCAAATCGATTTACCATACTGTTTTTAAGTATAATTAATTTTTGAAATTGCCCCAGTTAGCACGAGTTGATAATCAACTAGTTGATGTTCAATGGTTTACGTCAACTTTACGTTAACTTCGGTGCGTTAATGTACTTGGCGGTAACAACAAGGCCGGACATAGTCTTTACAGTAAATTATTTAAGTCAATTCAATAATAATTATGACACGTCGCATTGGAATGCTGCTAAGCGCGTGTTACGATATTTAAAAGGGACATTAAACTATGGTCTAAAATATGAGCAGACAGGTTTATCTTTGTTCGGAGTAGCCGATGCAGATTGGGGGGGGGGGGGGGGAAATATAGTTGACTATAAGTCTTACTCTGGTTTTGCATTTATTTTGGCAGGTGCACCAATAAGTTGGGAGGCACGAAAACAACGTGTAGTGGCTCAGTCCACAACGGAATCTGAATATATAGCCATGTCTGAAGCAACTAGAGACGCGATGTATTTACGCGGACTACTAAATTGTATAGGTATTGATACTGAACAAGTAACAATCTTTAATGATAACCAAGGCGCGATTGAACTTGTAACAAATAAAGCTTTTCATCCCAGATCAAAACATATAGCTTTAAAGTATCATAAAATTCGAGATGAAAGTGAAAAAGGAAATATTGATGTAAAATATCTATGTAGCGAGCGAATGCCAGCTGATATTCTGACAAAAAGCTTGAGTGGTCCAAAACATTATGAATGCTTATGCAATTTGGGTATGGCTGATGAATGAATGTACACGATGCCCCTTGAGGGGAGGTGTTGAATATATCAAAGGTGCATGTATACTTAGCATATTTCAGATTATCCTATTGTAATGTATTTTGGGTATATAATCCTTAATGGAATGCTCTATGAGTCAGTCTAAGGCAATAAGCCATCGAGTTAGCATTGCAACGCTCTCACCTGTATTGTACTTTATATATACTAATACTTTACTACTTCTTAATTATTGTAAAATAAACTTGTTATTTAATCTGATCTTAACGCGCCATTATTCATAATCCTTAACAGTTTCTCACAGAACTTGACTTTAACTTACGCATCAAGTTAGCGTAAATCTACTGCCGGAATTTATCGAAAGGTTCGCTCAAAGTTAACGCGAAGTTTGTGGAAAATTGACGTTAATTTCACGTAAGCAGTTATATAAGTACAACTTTGCCTTACGGTTGCCTTACTGTAAAGCGTAAACTTTACGTCCAATTTTGGCCGCAGGTTTACGTCAAATTGATTTCATTTGTGCTAACTGGGTATAAGCTATCATATAATATCTGTTGATAAAAAAATTTTCATTATTTTTATAAATGATCATAAATCTTGTAGCCATTAATTAATTTTTAAAATAAGAGGAAAAAACAGAAAATTTAATAATAATTGAATAATAAAAAAATATACATAGGTATAAAAAAATTTTAAATCGATAGGTGAATTTTTTTCAATTAATTATTCATTTTTTCAATTCTGAAAAATAATTGTTGTCAGCTTGATTCACATATTCAATCAAAAATTTAAATTCAAATTTTGCGCGCGAATTTCAAACCTTACTGCCACGCCATCTGCTTTGTGAAACCCAACTGCGCCACCTGTCAAATTTTAATACTTGTTATTTGTTTTCTTTTTAAGACTTAACCTATAATTTATTGTTTACCAAATTTCATAATTAAAAATAATAAAGAATCGAATAAAATTAAAATGGAAAAAAATACGTCAAAATCGCGAAAATGTAATTTAAAACAGCGTAAAGCAAGTGAAAGATTAGCGCGTGATTTGAACATTATATCTTGTGAAAATCCGACGGAATTCATCGCGATTTGCAATGCCGGCCTTGTTACCGGATTAAAACATGAATCCCTAGAGCTTGTCATTAATAAAATATCAACAAATAATTCGAATTACAAAATAGTAATGCCACGAGGTAAATCGTACTGTTTTATAAAGTTCGAGGATTCAAGTGCCACGAAAAATTTTTACGACAAATTAAACGGTGAGTTCGAAGAAAATTTAAAGACAACTTTGTATTTAATTTTCTGCGAATCTATCCCTGATGATAATGAACCGGTTGGCGACCAGCTTCCTGGAGGCTTGAGATTAATCGAGGAATTCATTAGTCGAGAGCAAGAAGATCGATTACTGCAATTGGTTGACTGGGACGAACACGAGCTTAATTCGGAACTAAAGCATCGCAAGGTCAAACATTTTGGGTACGAATTTTGCTACAAGACCAATCGAGTTGATCCGAACTCGCCGATAGAACCGATACCGGCGGATTTGGAATTTTTGTATGGATTATTTGAGGAACATGGCTGTGGAAGATATAAATATGATCAAATTACAATCAATAGGTATTTACCCGGACAAGGTAACTTTTTGTTTTAATTATTTCATTTCTTTTTGTATTATTCATTACAACTAATTATTTTTTTTATTTTTTAGGTAAAATTGTCTGACATTTAAGTCTCGAAAAATATTATTTTATGATAGTGAAATTACTAGACATTTGACAACTTTTACGATTTGAATTTTTGAAATTAAAAATAAAAAATTAATATAATTTTAAATCTCGAAGATTTAAAAAACTAAAAATGCAATTTATTAAAGATATTTTTTAGGCATAATTTAATTAATGAAAAAAAAATTAAAAAATTGTCAAACGATTTCTGATTTCAATATCATTTTTTTATTTTATGATACTGAAATTAACAAATTCTATAGTAACTAATTATGAAAAAATTTCAATGAATAAATTCCACGTCAAAAATTAAAAAAAAAAAAAAATTACAAGGGTAATTTTTTAAACATATTTTTTTGTACTATAATTGACTTGTTATAAAAATTCTAAAAATTATCAGATGTCTGCTGATTTTAGTATCATGTTATTTTCTATGATACTGAGTTTAAATGATAGTTGATTATTTTTTTATTTTTTTTAACAAATAACTAATTTTAAAAAATTAAAAAAAATTATGAATGCAAATGTTGGAAATGATTCTTTATCATGATACTAAAATCAGTAGATATTTACAAATTTTGAGGGTATTTTATTTATAACAAATCAATTATGGTAAAAAAAAATATTTTTAAAAATTTGCACTCCTAATTTTTCTTTCATTTTTAAACGTAGAATTTTTTCATTAAAATTTTTTCGTAACAATTTAATTGTTACAGAAATCCAAAACATTGATAGATGTCTGTTAATTGCAGTATCATTATTTTCTTACTACCTAGCAATTTATTAATTTCTTGATTACAAGATAAGTCATTGTTGATATAGAAAAAATGCACCGGATTATTTTTTGGGTGAATTTAATAAATATTTTCATACTATTAAAAATTTGCATTCATAAGTTTTTTAAGTTTCTGTCTGCGGAACTTTGTTTTTATTTTTTCTTGTTATACTCTACTTGTTTAAATACTAAAAAATTTACTTTAATCAAAATTATAATCTATGATTATTAAAAAATCGGCAAAAATCTCAACAATTAATGACTTTTTTTCAAAATCAAAGAACTGCAAAATTAAAAAAAAAAAAAAAAAAAAATACATTTCCATCAAAATAAAATAATTTAATTTATTAGTTTTTGTGAAATGAAAATTTTTTAATTTGAGTAATATAGTTGTTGGTACTCATTTAAAAATAAAATAAAATAGTTATTTCATCACAAAGAATTATTTTCACTCTGTTCATTATAATAATAATTATTATTTATATTTATTTTGTTATATATTAAAATTAAAATACGTATTTCTGAAATTGACATGGAATGTATTACAAGTCAGATATGCGTAAATATAATAATAATTATTGTTATTATTGTATCTTGTTTTTTATAATTTGCTACATAAAAAGTATTTTTAAATGATAACTTGTTAAAAAGTTTCTAATTTCTGCTATTCCAAATTTTTTTTAGGTATTCCACCGCATATTGATACTCACAGTCCATTCGAAGACACGATTCTATCCCTATCATGTGGAAGTGCCTGTGTGATGGATTTCAAACATGAAGACAAAAAAATACAAGTTTATTTACCAGCACGTTCATTATTAATTATGTCTGGAGAATCACGTTACACTTGGACCCACGGAGTTTGCCCGAGACACCACGACGTTGTTGAACAAAAGCAAGGTGATAAAGTAACAACAACGACTCTTGAACGCGGGACTCGAATTTCTTTTACGTTTAGAAAAATTCGCACCGGAGACTGCCCGTGCAATTACAATGATTGTTGCGATTCAAAGAAATCTAAAAGAGAGATTGACCAGTCAAAAGCCCCCTTACTTGAGTCATCTTACGTTCATCAAGTATATATACATTTATGTTTGTTATATTCGTTTAGTTGTAAGATTATAAAAATTTTATGATAAATTTATTTCCCAACAGGTATATGATGAAATTTCGAGTCATTTTGATGAAACGAGACATAAACAGTGGCCTAATGTTGCCAAATTTATTGACTCGATTGATCCTGGGAGTATTCTTCTAGATGTTGGCTGTGGCAATGGAAAATATTTAACTCCAAAAACTGGATTATTAAAAGTAATTCAATATTTTTATCATTAAGGATTTTTACTTTTATTTAATAAGGGTTTTTCATTTGAAAACTTATTTTTTTTAATTTAAATACTTACAATTATTTCAACATTTTATAGTAAGCTGTTGATTTTTCATTTTTCTGGTATCAAGTCACTAAAAATAGAATTTTAAATTATTATATCAGAAAATTTTTAAATTAAGTATTTTATTTTTCTAAAATCTTAAGTTGATAATTATATACAAGTGAGTCTCTGACCATTTCAATCATGAAAAATCGAAAAGTGAAGGTATTAAAAATTTTTTTCAACATCTACTGGTGGAGCTTTTTGGCAGATTAGAGATAAAGATTGCTTTTCAAAAAATTGAATTTGATGGAGATTTTTGGACTTAAATAGGAATTTTGACTTTTAATCAAAAATTTTTATTTTATGATGCGTTTAAAAAGTAAAACAATTTGAGAAACATAAATTTAAATATTTTGAAAAAAAAAAAACATCTTAAGGAGGTTCGAGCGAATCTAATGTAAAAAATAATTTCCAACTTTGAGCTTTGAAACTAAGTATACGTATAAATAAATACGTGATTTATCTAATCCCAAAATTTAAAAAAGATTCACCGTTTAGTTACTTAGATATTAAATTTTAAAAATAACATATTTTATCTCCTTTTACACGGGCTCTTATGGCGGACAAACGTTTGTCGAGACTTTAATTATTTTTTTCAATATTAACCTCCCAACTTTAACGGATAAAAAACTATACACAAGAAACTTGGATTATTGCAAAATATAAAAAAAATTTAATAATAATACATTACCGATATAATTTTTGAAATATTTAAAGTCAAATTTTATGTTTGTAACTCGTTTATCGTCAGCCATTTATTCGAATAAAGATTTGACAACATCGCGTCAACAGCTGAAATAAAAGAAAAGGATAGAAATATAGTTACAGAGAGAGAGAAATGTTTAACTCACACACTCATCCACGTCTCAGTTATAGGTATAATCAAGCGCGCTATTACCAAATCTGTTTATTTATTCCGGCAAATAATAAATACGAAAGTCATTTTATTACTTTACTTTATTAAATAAGTAAAAATCATCAATTATTAAATTGTTTAAATTAAAATAAAGAATTTTAACGAATATTGGGAAGACAAAATTAAAAAAAAAATTTAATATTATTTTGACTCATTAGTTACGCTCGAACGTCCTTGTCAATTTTTCGATTTTTTATGACCGAAATTAGGCAGAGCCTCACTTTTACATTATTTATTTATTACCAATGAAATTAATAATTTTTCAAAAATGAAATATTTTCGTGAAAATTTTCAACTCAAACATTTTTTTACTAAAAACTTCTCAAAAATTTTTCATTGACAATATTAATGAATTCGAATGACTTTATAAATAATTGTCAGCTTAGGTTTTTACTAGTTTTTTAAACTAGTAAAGACTAACTTTTAGTTAGTCTTAAAAAATTTGATATTTAATATTAAAAATTTCTTCTGTCAATAGACCCTAATTTTTATGTTCAAAAGTTCGGACATTATTGCACGTACTTTTTTTTAAAAGTTTTCACTTCGAAAATAATTAATTTACACAATTTATAATTTTCAGAAAAATTCGTTTTTATATTTATAAAATTAATCATTTTTTTAATTCAATTTACAATCAATTACTGATTTTTAGTAAAGCAAAATTCTTGTCTGTGAAAAAATATTCGTTTCTTTTAAAATTAATATCAACTCCATATTTTTTGTATCATTAAAAAGAATTTTTTAATCTATAAGGGGTTATATCTAGTTGCAAGCCCAAAAATACACGTTTTTTATGAATTTTTTCTGAAGAAACATTTTATTTAACAAATATGTAAAAAAACATGTATATGTTCTTGTAAACAATCTTCTGGAGGTCTTCCACAAAGAGATATCCGACGGTGAGCGAGATATCTCTGATTTGGATTATATGGAATGGAAAATTCCAAAAAATTTATTTAGTAAATAGATGAATAATGTAAATGCAATATAAAAAATAATTTATATTACAAACATCAAAATTGTTTATACTATAAAACGATAGATATTTACAAGTTAATTAAAAAAATCACAACTCATAACAAAAATCACAATAAAAAAAAAATCATAAACATTAATAAAGAACCACAAAATAGCGCTATGAGTCCGCATTAAAAAATCCATTAATTATCATCTATACTTTTTGATTCTAAAAGAGACTGAAATTAATCTCAAATTTTTTTCAGATTGGCTGTGATCGAAGTAACGGACTTCTAAACATTTGCAGATCAAAATCATATCAAGTATTTCAATCAGACTGTCTGAAATTACCATTCAGATCAAACTCCTGCGACGCTGCAATTAGCATCGCGGTGATCCATCATTTATCAACAGCTGACCGTCGTCGTGACGCTTTTCTTGAACTGATTAGAATTCTCAGGCCTTTTGGCCGGTGTTTAATTTACGTGTGGGCTAAGGAGCAGCGACGTAATAAGCAAGATTCAGCTTATCTTAAATTAAATCCTGGGAAAATAAAAGAACACAAAAATGTACAGTTGTTCGAAGATCTGGAGCTACCGGTTCACGATAACAGGACTAATTTCAGTCACAACGATGTCATGGTTCCCTGGAAAACTAAAAGTGGTAATGAATTTTTAAGGTATTATCACGTTTTTGATGAAACTGAATTCCGTAGTTTGTGTCTGAGGTTACAGGAAGTTTCTGTTGTTGATATTTATTATGACCAAGGTAATTGGTGCTGTATTTTAGAAAAAAAATCTTCGTTAGTCTTAAGTTGATAAATATTCTATTAGTTTTTTTTTTTTTAATAATTTTTGTACATGTATTTTTGATGCGAGTGTTACAAAATAATTATATTTTATTTCTATGAAAACTTAACAGTTTATTTGATGAATTTAATATATGCCTGTAAAATCAATTTCTTTAATTGATTAAAGGTTCATTCTGGTTCCGGCGCTCGAAAAAACACACACACAGAAACTATTATAGATATTAAGATAAAATTTATCCCATTCACTATATACACTCTTGAATGGTATAAAAAATATCTAAATTTATTTTTTTTTTTAATATTTATATATTTATATGAATAAACAACGGGTGAACGGAACTCTTCCAAAAGTTGGTATGTCGCTGATGTACGTAATAACTTGATAACGGATTATCTAAAAGACAAAAACCAAAATTATTTACGTTCAATATATAAGTATTCATTGCACCAGCTACAAAGATTAATATTTATTGACAAATAACAAAATGCTGAACATTAAAAAAAATACTGAAAAATGAAGCTTTTTTTTTCAGTTTTTAGTCCTAAAAAAATAGCAAAAATGAAAATTCTGATTTGGTTTGAGCTGATGCAATAGCTACTACTATGTAGAATATCTGGTTTAAATTTGATAATTAAGATCGGGTCAGTAGTTCTGAAAATATCATGTACGTAAACCAGAAAAACATGGTTCTGAGATAAATGCGTTTAAAATTTTTTTAATTAAAAAAAAAAAATCTGACCTAAAGTCAATTAGCAATACCGAGACTATACAAAATCCCCTCAACCTTTTCAAAAATTTGATTTTCTTTCGTAAATTTTCATCGTAAAATAATATAGTTACAGTGGTCTGATCACTTAGTAAATTTAACGCAATGGTTTTAGATGAATTCCGGAAAAATGTTGAAGTTATGAAAAATTCATATTATTTCATTAAAATTATTATAAAATAATAATAATAATATATATTTTTTTTTGTAACAAAAAATGAAGCAATCATTCTAGGGGCGCTTGTTTTTTAGGAAAATTGTGGGTGTGACGTCAATAAAATTATTTCAAATATGGGTATATGAAAAAATTTTAAAGATATGAAAAATTATTATTATTTCATTAAAATTATTATAAATTAAAAATTATAGATTTATTAAATTATTATTATTATTATAATTTTTATTTTATAATAATTTTAATGAAATAATATTAATTTTTTATAACTTAAAATTTTTTTCCGATTACCCTTTTAGATATATATATATATACTTTTGAAAAATATGAAAAAAAAAGAAAAAATTTTTTTTTAAAAATTACAAGCCAGAATGACCCTTCAAAAATTCATAGTAAATAATACCATCCATAATTAGATGTAAATATTTTTATAGATTTATTTAATTAAATTAAAATTAACAAATCTGACAACTTTAAAAACTTTTTTTAAAAATTTCGTCCCAAAGAAAAGGTCCGGTATCTATTGATTTCAGGATCATATTTGTTATACATGTCATTTCACAATAGTTTCTAATTTTTTATATAGTTATTTATTATGTATAGAAATATATTGAGATATGTGCGTTTATATAAACTTATAAATATAAATTTATGTACATATGTACCTCTATACGATAATATAAATTTATATACAAACGTGAATGGTGACAGATAATCGATGAATATATTGCAGAATGATGTATGGCCATATGAACGTAAACATAAGTCTTGTTCAGGAAAATAACAAAAAATTATGATACTTAAATTAGCAGAAATCTATTAATTTTTAGAATTTTCGACACTACTAATTTATTGTAAAAAATTTTATAGGTGGATATTAACTATAACCATGAGTGCGATTTTTTAATAAAATTTTTTTAGTAAATAATTTTTAAACAAATAAAAAAGATAACAAGTACTGATTTCAGTATAAAAAAAAATTATCTATTTTTAATAAATAATCATTTTTATGTCAGTTGAAATTTGCTTAGAATATATAAATTAAAAAATAATTTTGAGGTTTTCGCTTGGAATATTTATAAGATTTTTTTTTTCAAACTTGAACTATTACCAATTTAATTTTATATTATTTTTTACTATATATAATATTAAGTTTTAGCACCGGGAACTGTTGTTATATTTTTGTCTATAAAATCTAAAGATACGATAGTAAAGAGCAAAAAAAATGTGTGAAAAATTTTTTCAAAATAATGATCAATTTCTAATTCTTTGTATTTTTAGTTTCTCTAATCAATCGTCGTCTACATAAAATATTAATTCGTTTGTAGATCGAATGAACGTAATTTTATTAAAACACTGTTAATGATTTTTTTTTAATTAGTAATATTTTAGAAATTTCTACATTAGAGATGTTTTTAGAATATTTTAGAAATGTTAATTATAATTTTAGAATGCTTGAAGTTTTTATCAAATTAAAAAAAAAATTTTGTAAAGCTGTGTGATTGTATTACCTATGTAGATGCGTTAAGTAGAATAACTCATTTTACTGATAAGCTTCAGAATCTTCTTGAAGTAAAAAATCTATAATTAGTTTTCAAATTTTCAATGGAACTTTTAGAATTTACGAAACTCTGAGTTGAAAAATACAAATTTTCTTTTAACTTGACAAAGTTTGTTTCAGAAAAAAAACTTTTCAAACTGTCTCAATTATCAGTGTAAATAAAAATTTGGTATATAATTATATATACATATTTACTGTACACATTGTACATGCACAGACAAAACTTCAGTTGAAATTTTATATTTTTAAATCTTACCAAATTTATTAAAGATTTTTTATGAATTTTACTCAACGCAATAAATAAATTATTTAAAAAAAAAAGTTTTTTGACTTAGAAATTTTACTGGGCAAGTTTATTTTAATAAAAAAATTTACTCTGCTTTGGAAAAGTTTGTATTCTGTGGTTAAAAAAAAATTTTTTTGATCCTCAAGTCAAAATTAAATAATAGTTGAAAAAATTAAAAAACACTTTAATAGATAATAGAGAACCCAATTAAAAAGGAGGAAATAATTTTGAATAAATTTAATTGTATTGTCATCAGTCCTTGATAAGTGTGTAAAGTTTTAATTTAATCCCAAGTTTTGAAGTGAAATTAAAAAAATTCTAAACTTGGCAAGTGTTAGTTCAAGATCCAGTCAAATAAAAGGTACCTTAAAAAAATTTCAAATTTTCCGAGAATCAAAAGACAATATAGTATCTAATTATCTATATAAAAAAAAATAATAAGGAAAATAGTGTCTTCTGCGTATTTATATAATAAAATGAGTTTTTTAAATTAAATTTAGTGCCATTGGAAAGGTTTTGACTTGAATTTTTGCTTTTTCAATGTTTTGTATGCTTTTCAGCAACAGTTAATTTACTATAAAAAGTTTTTGAATTAGTTCTAAATAAATTCGAATTTCGCGATAAACAAAATTTGTTTATTTATTAGTAAGGAAAATTTTGTGACGAGCATATTATTATTTTCAAAGGAATTTATGCCTTTTTACGGTTTTATATATTTATCAGTGATAGTAAATTTTTTATGTTAACTTTTTGGAGCAGTTTTGAATAGTTTGTTGTTTCTATAAATTTATTCCGTCACATTTGTCCATTAAATTATTTGTAATTGATCCGGTCATAGCATTATTAATTTTCAAATTTATTTCAAAAGTATCCAAGCTGTGTAGTGTGATTAGAAAAGTTTATTTATTTATTTATTTAATTATGCCAAAGCAGTTGCTAAATCCGTGTAAAAAAAATTGTCCCACAATTGACACAATAAAGGACATTTTTTGGACAATTTTGGGACCACATAAATAATCGGAAATTTAAAAATGGTGCATTTTAAGAACTTTTTTTATAAATTTTAAGTTTTTTTTTTAAGATTTTCGGAATACTTCTAAGATAATTGAAGAATCAACGCGTTTTATTTTAAACAATTTAGTTTCAATTTTGTCCTTAAAATCCTAAGTGGAACATTATTCCAATAATTTGAGAACAAATTTTGGATAATTTTGTAACATTTGAAAATAAATTTAGAACATATTTTGAACAATTTTGGAACTTTTATCGGACATTTTTGAAACAATTTTTAAATGATTTAAGAAGTCCTAATTTATTTTTGCACAGCTGTAGGTTTGTCCCAAAATTAATGAATGGAAAAAATATTCTATTCATTAACTTTGGAACAAATCTAAAGCTGTGCAAGAATAAATGATCTTTCCTAAAATCATTTAAAAAAACGTTTCAAAATTGTTGTAAAATAGTCCAAAAAATGTTCCACATAAGATTTTAAGGACAAAAAAAAAATTTTTTTTTTTTTTTTTTTTTTTTCTTTAGAAATATTTTGATGCCAAGGCATCGGCCGAATGGCAAACATATACGATGCTGGTTTATTTATAGTACACGTAAGAGGCTTAATATTAATTTATCTAATAATTGTAATCTTAACAAGTAGAATAAAGAAAGAGTTACAAATGAATTTATAATAACAGTCATTAACTCTTATTTAATACAAAAAAAAAAATTTTGGCTAAATTGTATAAAATAAAACGCGTTAATTTTAAAATTATCTTAGAAGTATTTCAAAAATCTTAAAATTCACGAAAAAGTTCTTAAAATGCACTATTTGAAAATTTCCGATTATTAATGTGATGTCCCTTATTGTGTCACGTTTGGATGTCCACGCTTGGGACCATTTCATTTTACACGGGTTTGGCAACTGCTTTGGCATGATTAAATAAATAAATAAACTTTTCTAATGACACTACACATAGTTTGGATACTTTTGAAATAAATTTGACAAATAATAATGCTATGATAGGATCAATTACAAATAATATAAAGGACAAATGTGACTGAACAAATTTATAGAACCAACAAACTATTTAAAACTGCTCCAAAAAATTAAGATAAAAAAAAAAAGTGTACTATCACTGATAAATATATAAAACCGTAAAAAGGCACAAATTCCTTAGAAAATAATAATATGCTCGTCACAAAATTGTGATTACTTATGTGATGTCCAGAAAATGTCCCTCATTGTGTCACTGTCATGTTTGGATGTCCACGCTTGGAGCATTTTTTTTTTCACACGGGAAATCAAAGAGTCATTAAATAAGCCAAAGTTTTTTTATTCATAATCCGTAAATCTCGGCAGTCACATAATGACTACAGGTTGCTAGTTATAATCAAATAAATAAAATTCAATAAATTTTGTTTAATAATTACTTTATTTACTTTAATCATTTGTCCATAAAAAAAAAAAAACATCTTGTATTTAGTTATAATTATCTAATACAAAAAAAACTATTTAAAAAAATAAAGGAAAGAAAAAAAAGAAGAAAATAATTATTAATATTGAAGTACACAAATTATCTAAAGTTGAAAGAAAGTGAGAACAAGATAATATACGATCAACACCTCAGTAATTATTAATCAATAATAACCATTAATCATTAAGTATTAATCATCACTATTTATTAATATTATCAATAATTTCTCTATAATAAAAAAAAAAAAAAGAAAAATACATACTTATTACATTTAAAATCTCCTGCCAAATAATTACTATTTCTTCTTTATTATTAACGTTTATTTATTTTTTTTTGTCAATGTAATTATTATCATTAGCAATTACTCTTACTATCAATATGTTAAAATACAAATTGTTCACACAAAAAATTTATTTATTATCAGTCACTCATTATTCCATTCGTTCGTTTATCAATTAAATTTAAATATTCGAGTAGAATAATATTAAATTTAAGATTTAAAACAGGGCAGGAAGATCATATCGTGACGAAAAAGTAGAGACAAAAAAAATAATAATAAGTAATAAATAAATAATTAATCAATTTTAATTGTTAAAAATAACTTTTTTAATGAAACTCCAGATAAAAGTAATTTTGTTTTGTTTATAAATAGCCTTAACAATTAAAATATAAATTAATTATTTATAAATTCAATAATAAAATTAATAATAATTATTACATTTAACGGAGAGGACCATTGAAGAGGATGAGGTTCCTACGTAAGTACTCTCAGGTAATTGGTATGTACACGTTGTGTTCTTCATTTTAAAATATGAAGTAAAAAATAAATTAAATTTAGGAATAAAAGGTGTTTCACTTATTAGGATAATAATATAAGGTGCTCTCAATTTTCTCAACTTGACAAAAATTTAAAAGTTTGTTTTTTAATTTAAAAAAGAGACTTGATTTTATTATTTCTTCGTTAATTATTCTTTAAGTTAATTAATTAATTAATTATTATTCTTATTCATTATTATTCAAATAAATCATCAATCCACACGCTATTCATCATCATCCTCGGCATCATCCTCTTCCATGTCCTCCTCACTCTCGTGTTTAATCATCGCATTTGCAGGTGCCCCCATCATAACATCAGGACCATCCTTCATTTTCTTTTTGTACGCAGTCATTTCCTTTAATGAAAATTTTTGAATAGTTCGACAGTTAACGCATACATCAAAAAATTACTTGATTTTTTTTCTGTTTTTTAATATATATTTTTTTTTTTTGTTTGTTACACACACGCTCATTATAATAATAATATTTAAATTTAACTCATGTATTTAATAATTATTATTAATATTATTAACTATTTATTACTAATGCTTTAATTACTAGTTATAATCATTATTCTTAACTGTTTATTATTATTATTATTATTATTATTATTATTCAAATACTAAACTTAATTTGTTTAAAAAATTTTATGGTAAAAATATAAATACATATACTAATATATGATTTTTAAATTTATCATTAAACAATGTTGGTGGTTTTTATTTCGTCAAGCAAATTTATATAAAAATTTTTCCATACATTAGTATATGCAAATATAAGTATATATTTATTTATATAAAAAAAATTATTACGTGGAAAAAAATGAAGAAAAAATTAATCATACAAAAGATACAATTAAAAAAAAAAAAAGCAATTTTTTGTAAAAATAAAAAAAAAAATTACTTAAAAAATTTTCATTTTCATAATTATTTTTTCTTCTTTTCTTCCTTTCTTAATCAATATTTTCAATCCTACATATTAATAATTAATGTATGATTAAACTTGTTTTTTTTTTCTTTTTTCAATCCTTTTTTTCGTTTGTAATTATTCAATGTCTCAAATTATTGTTATTATTATTATTATTTTAATTATTAATCATTAATTATTATTATAATTATCCCCGATGAGAATAGCGCATTTTCATTCATTTTTCTCTACTTCTCAGTGACTTATTAATCGAAATTCTGATCATAAAATTTCTCCCGGTCCGTTTGCCATTTTCTTCTTGTATGCAGTCGATTCCTTTAATGAAAAGTTACATTGTTTTCTCAATTATCACAACTAAACTACGCGTTATTAGTTTTGATTTTTATTCTTTAGTTAATCAATTATTTTTTTTTTATTTTTCAAGATTAATACGATCTTATTTATTTATAAAAAAAATATATATTAAATTTTTTTTTTGAATTTAATTTTCAAATTAACAATTACATGTGTAATTGTTAATTTTACGCAATTTTTTTAAAATAAAAAATAAAATGTTTAAATAAAAAATAAAAACGTAACGCATATTGAAATTTTGTCAAAAATTTTTTTTATAAATAAATCAATAAAATAATAATTTAATCAATTTTTTTAATAAATCTGATAATTATTTTTTTTAATAAACTTTTATTCATTTATATTTATAGGTTAACATTTTCCAAGCCGCCATTTTGTTGCGATCATTTTAAGTTTTAATTTTCGATCAAATAAAAAATTACCTTTAAATTTTTAATTTATCATACGAAAATGTTTAATAGTAAAAAAAGTTACTTCATTAATTTTTATCTCTAATTAAAACAAAGTTTAAAAAATAAATTATCAGATTATCTTTGAAAACAAAATACAAATTATCAATTTCTATTAAAATAAATTTTGTTCTCGACAAAATAAAAATTGATAATTTTATCTAAATTGTTTTATAATTGTGACCAATTATAAATTTATCAATCAAAATAAATGTTAATTAAAAAAAAAATAATCAATTTTTATTGGTGTAATTAAAAGTAATCAAAACAAAGAACAAAAAATGCTTACCCTTTCGTATCGAGCTTTGTCTTTCTCGGCCATAGCTTCGTACTTAGATTTGGTTTCAGGATCTGCGTCAGACCACTTTTTACCCAATTCCTTAGCGATATCACCAACACCGTACTCTGGATTGCGCATTTTTACATTTCCACGTTCATCGTGGCAGAACCAAAAGAATGCAGACCTAAAAAAATTTTCAAAGAAAAAAAAAATTAGTCATTATAAAAAAAAAAAAAAAAAAAAATAAATAAAATAAAAAAAAAAATACATACAATGATCTTTTGGGTGCGTTAGGATCTTTAAGGTGCTTGCGTTTCTTTCCTCTTCCCTTAATGTTTTCACCTTTGGGTGGTGTGTAGTTTTGCATTTCCGCGTCGTATCTCTTTTTATCTTTTTCAGCCATTTCTTGGAAACGTTTCTTTTCTTTGTCAGACATTATCTTTAAAAAGAAACAATTAAATAAATTTAATTATAAATCCAATAAAAATTAAAGTGTTATTAAAATTTCGTGGAATAATTAATTACCTTCCACCTATCGGCGCATTTTTTCGAAAACTCTTGGAAAACAATAGTTTCTTCAGGATGTTTTTTCTTGTGCTCCTGACGGCATGTTTGAACAAAAAATGCATAAGCAGTCATTCGCCCCCTGGGTTTAGAATCCGTTTTTCCACGCGGCATTTTAGTTATTTGCGCGTTATTTTGTTGTAAATTATTTTGACCTGGCAGCTGCTGTATTTGATGCTATTTTTATAAAACAAACAAAAAAAAAAAAAAGTAAATAATTAAATTCATATATACTTCATTTAAGAATATCAACTGTTAAATATGACGCTTTAATTTTTACTCGGTTTTAATTTCACGTTATTTGATATACTGAAATAAAAACCATTTGATAAAATGTTTTTTGCAGATAAATCAATTTTATAAACATTAATTCTTATTATTTTATTTAAATTAATAATTAAATAAAATCTATCAGTTAAATAAAATAATAATGAAAAAATCCATAAATGTATATTTTGTAAAATGTATTACGTAGCAGGGAGGGTAAATGGATAGAGGGGAGATAGCGAGTGAGAGAGAAGAAAACGACGCGAATTGCGCGCGGGCACGACCCGGCTTTAACCAGAATCAATAGCGACGAAGAAGAGAGAGAGAGAGAGAGAGAAAGAGCTAGTCGTTTTATAACGGAACAAAATTTTTAAAATAATCAATTTTTTTTTTTACAAAATAAAATCCTTAAAATTTTCAATTTTTTGAAAAAAATTAATAGGATTTTTTTTCTTCACAGAAACGCCAGGGGATAAGAACAAAAAAAAAATTTTTTGGGTTTGGGTGAAAGTAAAAAATGTTAAAAAAAAAAAAAAAAAAGTGTAGCTGACCCGAGAGAGAAACCGGTATCTGAGGCCTGGTACCAGCGCTTGGCTTTAAGGTACAGTACGTACCTATACCTATACCTAAGCGAAGTACCTATGGAGTAAAAAAATACCACGAGACCACGGAACTGAGAGAGACAAAGCTAGCCCAGCGAATTTTATTCCTTCCATAAAATAAAATTCGCTCCTAATAATATTTATAATTAATAAATAGTAATAATAATAATGATTTTTGTTTGTTACTTTTGTTGGATTGAAACATACCGCGGGAATTTGATTTGAAGATATATGCTGTCCTTGCATCTGTTGTTGAACATTATTAGCGTCCATAACAGCACCACTGGAATACCACCATTGTACACTACCAGCTGGTGGGTTTGTTTGTGTATTGGTATTACCAGTAGGAGTATTACCTTGATTATTACTATTATTAGTATTAGCACCACCAGCGGATGTATTGCTACCAGCACCACCAGTTTGTCCAGTCATACGATAATCGTATCCTCTCATACAATTAGCACCACCACTAGAATTATTAGGATTACCACTAGCACCACCACTATTTGATGATGTTGTCGATACCGTACTGTTTGATTGTCCGCCAGTAGCTGGATTTTGGAAACTAGCAGCCATTGTTTTATATGAAAACAAGTGCTGAGTTCCAGCAGCGGTGCTCCTTACGATATCCTGATGATGCTGATTCAACTGTTGTGCAGCAGCAGCGGCAGCCTGCTGGTTCATCAAGTGCTGGTGTAATGTCTGTTGCTGTACCACAGCGGCAGCCTGTTGTTGCAATTGTTGCTGCTGCTCGGCATTTATCCCTGGCCACCAATTATTTGCTCCACCACCAGCATTTCCAGTACCACCATTGTCCTCACGATTCCCAGGGCTCGACGTACCCCAGCCACCAGCCGCTCCCGCGGCGACGCGGTGATGTTCCGACATGTTCCGCGCCCGTTCCCCAAATGGTATATTATTATTTTATTATTATTTATACCTAAAAATTTTTATATTAATCAGTAAATACCGTTCGAACGAAATACAAACTATCAATTTAGTCTCGACATCATCCAACTTTTATGTATTTCTTCTTTTTAAATTTATTTTATTTATTATTTTCTTCTCTTTCAGCAGTTTTTAGTTAAAATGGCACCGGTGAAGATTTTACACCACATTCACACAAGCGCACCCTCACGGTTTTAAAAGGTATAAACACACGCCCGTATTTAACAAGCGTCGTCGTCGTCGTCTTCGTAGCAGTCGTCTACTAGTCCAACGAGACGCTAATCATTAAATTCACGCACTAGAATAAAAATATAATAACAGTAATAGTAGCAACAACAACAATAATAACAATATTAATTAAAAAAAAAAAAAAAAAATAAAAAAAAATAATAATAAAAAGTCGAAACTAACCAATTTTTTTCACAGCACGTTTTTTTTTCTTTTATTATTTCTTCTAAATAAAATTAATCTGTAGGCGGGAAATGTGACACGAAGATATCTATATGGACATATATATATATATATATGTATATGTGTATAGATGTATATATATATATATATAAATAATAAATGGTTAAAGAAGAATAATAATAACGAAAAAATGTAAAAGTACTACACACACTTTAGGATGCGGTCTACTCGACGCTACACGTTCAACGGCTCAACGCTCGTTCCGGCCATTCCATGGCCAGACGGGTGGCGGGTACAGAGAGGGGGTGGCTCGCCCCTTCTTTATTTCTCTCTCTCTCTCTTCCGTTACTCGTGAATTTTTTCACCTCACTCCAATAATTATGAGAAAATTTTAAATAAATAATTTCCAATATATAATATTGTGAATTTTCGGTGGACGAAAAGAAGAAAATTTTAAAAGAAAATAGAAGTTTTTAGACGGAGAAGAAGTGCGCGCGCATTCCATCTCTTTTCGACGCGCATACGCAGCATTTTGTTGGCCAATGGATGAAAAGAATCAGATGGATTTTAAATAAGAGGGAGAGAGTCGAGGTGAAGGGGAAGAGGAAGAAATAACCGAGGAGACTGCGTGCGCAGTTGCCACGTTGAGCTTTCACTTGGACGTTCACAAAGAAAATGTTCGATCGTAAATGCTGATCGTTGGATACGAGCCGTTACGATCATGGCGGGAATGCTCGACGTTTGGCAACCTCGCATTTTATGGGTAATTGTATATACCTATATATATTAAATATATTAATGTGTGAGTGTATGTGCATACATATATATAAATGTAAATATGAATTTTTTTTTTTAGTTTTTTTTTTTCTTATAATTTGTAGGTTTTTTATTTCAGAGTTTAAAATTGAGATTTTAAGAGTTTTCGGAGATTTTTCCGGAAAGACGCCGTGGAAAATCGAGGCTTTGTTACTACAAGGGGGAGAGGGGTTGAAGGACGGAAAGAGAAGGGACGATTACGATAAACTGCCGTCGTGTTAGTAATACACGCTGAAATGGAGGGGAAAAAAGAGAGAAAGAGAAGAAAACCGGGTCCGGGTCAATAAGACGCGAGAGAGGCAGAAAGCGGACATTCCCAGGGACGGACTAAATATTTTTTTTTTTTCAATTTTATGAATTTTTTTTCAAGGAAATTTATAAAATTTGTAAAAAAAATTTTCACATTTTAATAAAAAATTTAAATTTAAAAAAATGATTAAATTTTTTTTTTTTTTTTCATTTGAAAAAAAATTTTAGAAAATTTTTGATTTTATTTCGATTAAGAAAAAAAAATTTTCAATTTTCATTCTACAAATAGTTTAATTTAAAATAAATTTTGTATAAAAATCTCATTTTTTTTTGTTGGAAATTAAAAAAACATCATAGAAATAATGTTGAATTATTTTCTATAAATTTTAATAAATAAAAATATATTTTGGTAGAAGCAAAAAAAAGAGTAACATGTGGCGTTAGTAATAATTTACAAGGGTGGACTTCATAAAACAAAATAAAGGAACAAAAAAGGGTCGCTGGCATATTGCAATTTATGTCTGTAGGTTGCAGCCGGCTTTTACACAAAACATCAACTTTAACTTAAACTTGACTTTATTACTACCCTCGCCCCTATGCTAGCTAATTACATGCAACGAAAATCCTCACCAAATAGTGAAAAAAATATAATGAAAATCCTAAGAAATAATTGTAACCTAAGCTCAGGTACTACAAGGACAAAGCCTTGTCTACTTTCAATGGCCAACTATCTATTACTCAGGTAGTTTTCTGGGAATTTGCTATTTAGAAACAATTTCAAAAATTTACCTAAATTTAAAAGTACCTAATGAATAATATTTTGTTTAAACAATTTTAAAAACCACAGACCGGATGCTATTGCACCTGCACTACCGTTTTTTTTGTTGTTGAAATATCTCAAATATAACTTTCCCACGGTGTTTCCGGTGATCGCGTGCTGACGCTAGTTTTTGCCGCCAAAAATTTTTTTCTTTTAAAATATTTATAAAAAAATAAATTGAAATTTTTTTTTTAATCTGCAAATAAATTATTTAAACAAATTTCAAATTTTGGCGCGTGAAATAGCGTCGCTCGCCATTTCAATCCCCACCATTTTCACAACAACAATAATGATGACAATAATGACAACAAAAACAAAAATTAACAAAATAAAATATTTAAAATTACTGAATAATTAATTCTCAATACCTGCACACTTTCACTTTTAATTGAAGTTAATACTTGCAAAATTTTTTGTGAAAAAAAAAAACGTCTTAACGCGGGAGCTGAATCGTAATTCTGTCGTTCTCACTCTTTACTTCCCTGGCAACCTCTTGTCCTCCCTCCACGACACTAATATACCCAGTCGTATAGAAATATATCTATATACTTTATATATATATATCTGTATATTTATATATATGTAATATATAAAATAAATACAAAGAGTTGAAAAAAACTGCCCGATATTTCACATAAAAAAATCTACGAAAAAAAAAAAAATTATTAGCTGCCGCACAAAAATATTTTTAGCGGGAAAAATATTTTTTTAACAGAAATTTAGTAACAGATTGTAATGGCGTTTGAAAAAAAAAAAAAAAAAATTAAAATCATTTAAAAACGGAGTAAAAATTAAAAAACTCACGATTTTTATAAAAATTCTATGGAAAAAGTAATTGTTGTCATAATTTTAATGACCATAAGTAGGCTTACGGGTAGTAATAAAGGCTAAAGCATATAGCCAGCCCAAGCAGCCTTGATAGCTGTTGGAATACACGTAATGGAGTCTAATGGACGCTTGAGCTACATGTCAATTTGCTTATAAATAATTATTTTTAAAAATATTGATGACTAAAACGATGAAAAATGATTATTAGAAAATGAATAAAAATTTGTATTACCTTGACAATAATTATTAATTGTTATTGATAATAATGTTAAATATGACATTATTATGCGGCAGCCATTTTTTATTTTATCAAGTAGCTTTTAGTAATATTTAAGAGTAAGATAAAACAGTATTTTTATATTTTTAATTGTTTTTAGGATGATTACCAAGGAGTTATTCCAGGTAGTTTGTTACTTCGTAAATAAATAAGTATTGGAGTATGGCGTTTTCATCTTTGGAGTAAGTATGTTGGATGAGGAGAGGACGATAAAAATAATAGTATAATTAATGATTGACATAATGGTGATGGTGAGTAGGATTTAAAATATATTGTTAAATATTATTAATAAATGTATATAAATATAATTGCGGACTCACCTGGAGAAGACGGCAGAAGAAATATGATTTTATAAATACGGGTGGAATATCGTTACACTGGACTTGTAGTTTAGTGTAGTGTGTAAATGGTGTATAGGGATAATGTTTAAGTATTAGGCACCAAACACGCCACACTTATGTATGCGACAATATACAATATCATATTATATACATATATTGTATTGAGTTTTTTTTAGGGTACAGTTTCTGTTGTTGAACGTTCACAGAATCATTTTCATTGGCGTGTTTGAGATAAGCCGCAAAAAATAAACCAATCAACGAGCGACGTTACAGAGACTCTATATTTTATATTGTTCCGAATCTTTTGTGGGATAAGACTTTTTTTGGGAGAATTTACCGGCAGAGACATCTAGGGTGGATGCTTCAGGGAAGACATTTTGTGAGTATGGCTTTCACTGGGAAGTTTTAAATTTTTGGGAAAATAATCTAGGGGAGGGGGGAGGGGCAAAATGGGGTACTTAAACAACGTTATGATTTTAAGGACTTAAATACGCTGATTTTTCTCGTTTTCAGTCGTAATTAAAGAAAAATAATTAAATTTCAAGTTGCCGTAGAAAAAACATTTTTTTTTTTTGCGGGCAAAATGGGATACTCCCTGAAAGAGTGAAAAAAAATTTCTTCATCCGAAAATGAAATGTCGTTAAAGAAAATAACATTTTCTTATCGATAAGTCTACGAAAGAACCAAAAGAGAGGAACAAATCACTCAAAAAAGAGACATTGTTAGTTGAAGCAATATATTCCTAACAAAAATTGAGGTAGTAAAAAAAATTTTAAAACTTTGTCGTAATTTTTGACGGGTTTCGCTTGAGTAAAAATAATATCAAGATAAAAAAAAAAAGAGTTCTCTTGAGAAAATTCTAGTATTTGGAACTCCCGGTGAAAAAAATTTTAGACTCATAGTTCTCACGCAATTCAAAGTAATAGCACGAAAAAAAAGATTCGTAATTTTTTTTGTACTCTCTTTCTTGGTTTAGGGATTCAGGAAAATTTTTTCAAGTTGAATAATCTTGTAGGCCTGAAAATTTTACTTTTTAAATTAAATATCTCACAAGCACACCAAATGATTTTGAAGCAATTGGCGGCCTCCGACTCAGTTTTCTGAGCATTCATAATTAAATTATGTCATCAAAAATAATTCGAGAATAAATTCGATGTTATTTGAAAAAGATACTTTTTTTAAATAATTAGTGTACGATTTCTATCCAACACATCACCCGATTTTGATGCGGTTTGCAGCAGTCAACGTCGTTTTTTAAATTAAAGAACTGTTTAGATTTTGAAATTGATTGGTACATCTATTTAAAAGCTGTTGAAAGAAAAAAGTTATTTTAAATTTATGAGGAAGTCTAAGTTTCGCTAAACCTTATCGAATAACGCGATTGTCATTCAAATCAGTGGAATCGCACAAAAGTTATGAGAGGTTTACACACACACACTTAGTAAAAAATTTTTCGTCATTGTGTAAAGTGTAAAAATGTTTGTGTAGAATTTAACATCTTAGCATGTAGAATTTAACATTTTAGTATGTTGATTCAACACAATAGAGTGTTGATTCTGACTCAAGAATTTTTCCTTTTGGCTCAAGAAATTCATTTTCTTCCAATTGGTGTTCTTAGTTCATGATTTTTGCTCTTGAGTCAAGTTAAAATTTCTATCAGTGCACACACACACACACACACCTTGATAGAAATCTTCGTAGGAGTATTAAGAGCTACTTCCTAGTTTTCGAAAACTGGCTTGGAACCAATGACTTCCCGATTTTTTTTTTTTTAATCATTTTTTTGTAAAGTGGGAACTTAAAAATTTAGAAAAAAAAATTTTAGATGTGAAAAAAAAATTATTATGATGCACAATGACGATAAAAATTACTTCACAGTAAAAAATTTTTCGTCAATTTGTAAAGTGTAAAAATTTTTGTGTAGCAAATTACACTCTAGTGTGTATAATTTTACATTCTCATGTGTTGATTTAACATACTAGAATGTAGAATTGACATTAGTTTGTGTAAAAACAGTCAGTAACACAAATATTTGTGTTGAATTTGACGAAAATTTTTTTACTGCATGTAAAAAAAAGTAGAAAAGAAATTTTTTTTAATTAAAAAATTTTTTTTCCTCTGAAATTGTAGGAAATGACGTTAAAATATATTTTAGAAAGCTAAAAAAGCTTTTTGGAAAAAAAAAATTTTTTTACGAAATTTTGGGGGTACCCCATTTTGCCACCCCTACCCCATTTTGCCCCCCCCCCCTCCCCTATATAATTAAGAGAATAAAGAAAATTCTATCCTTGACATATTAATGTGATAAAATGAGTTTTTTTAATCAAATTTAATATCATTGGGAAGGTCTTGACCTAAATTTGTGCTTTTAAGTATTTCATACGCTATTTAGCAACAGTTAATTTATTATAAGTTTTCGGAGTAGTTGTAAATAGATTTGAATTTTGCGATGAACGTAAATTATTCATTTATTTATTTTGTCTTGTACATGTGAATGTGGTTATTTGTCAAAAACTAATTATAATTAAGAGACTAAGAAAAATTTTGTAACAGGTACAGCTTTATCGTAAATTGGATTTTATATTTTTTCAGGAATAGTGATTTGTAATTTAAATAATTGAGAGAGTAAAGAAAATTTTGTAACGAGCATATTATTATTTTTAAAGGAATTTTTACAAATAAATTTGGTATAATCAGAAAATCTAGACAAGAATTTTTGCCTTTTTATAGTTTTATATATTTTTCAGTGATAGTCAATTTTTTATATTAAGTTTTTGGAACAGTTTTGAATAGTTTGTTGGTTCTATAAAATTGTTTCGTCACATTTGTCCATTAAATTATTTGTAATTAATCCTGTGATATAATTATAGATTTTTTAAATCTATTTCAAAAATATCCAAACAATGTATAGTGTAATTAGAAATATCAAAAAATCATTAAGCTAAAGTTTTCTTATTCATAATTCGTAAATCTCAGTTGTCGCATCGTGACTGCAGATTGCTAGTTGTTTTTGTTTTGAGTTTTAGGGAAAAGGGACATCAGAAGATATTTCAGATATTTAATGGAAAAAATTCAAGTGTCCTATTGGATTATAGTCTAATCGTCGAAAATAAATTATGCTAAAAAATCAATTAGCAAGCAGCTGACCGATTTTTAGTTTTGAGAAATAAATCAGGACTAAGAAAATATCAGAAGAAATTGAATTTATGGTTTTTGGTCAATTTTTTCAGAGTAATTTTCTTTATTTTTTGTATACTAAATTATTTGGTGAAAGAAATTATAAAAATTTTCAGATGTCTGTTAATTTTAATGTAATAAAAATATTATGTTAATGATTTATTTTATTGAAAGTGTTATTGTGAAAATTAGATATTAGGCTAATCATGCACGACTGAAATTTTGACTATATTTTTTGTACAAATATTATGTTATTTGATTGTCTTCTCAGCTAATTCATGAAAAAAATTAATTTTAATTGATAATTGATTTTGACGTGATAACGTCTTATAAATTGATGAACACCGACAGCGCTTACGAAAAAATGTCGCGTTCCGACAGACCGTTCCGCTTTTGTGTTCCTCCTGAGCGTTCCGCCTGAGCCAGTGAGTGCAAGCGAGAGCGCGCAACAAGCGATAGATAGGCCCCAAGCATTGGCTTATGACATATATCTCTCTTTTCGCGTAACGTCAAAGCTAGCAGTCAGAATATTGTTCTATAACTAATTTTTCGTGATTATATTTAAACAAATTATATCAGATTATTATTGTTGATAATATTAATTAATTAATATTATCAATTAGTTCAATTTAAAAAGCAATTTTCCATATTTATTTAATATGTTCAAAATTCATTGAAGAAAATAAAACTGGAAAATTTTTCCGAAAACAATAAAAATCTGTTGAATAACTTCCAGTTCTATTCTTGTAAATTTATTCTGATATCTTTCTTCTTGAAAATAAAAAAATTTTCTCATTTTTTTAATGGCATTGACGACTTCTGACGATTTTCTAATTTTTTTAACAAATAAATTAGTAGTAAGGAAATTAAAAAAAATTATAGTTTTGTTAATAAAGAATATCAATTATAAATAAATAAATTAATAATAATTGTAAACGATAAATTAATAAAATAATAATTAAAAATAATAAATTAATAAAATAATTAATATTAATTATAAATAATAATAATCATATCAATTATCAAATTATTGTATCAATTTTTGATTAACAATTTATCAATAAGTCCTTTTTTTTGTTAAAATAATTTTTAAATACAAAATAATGATCATTCAGTGATAATAATTCAATTCAATCCATAAAAGTATGCAATTTTTCATCAATATTTCTTTATGACGTTATCACGTAAAACTATCGTCCGTAAACCGACTTTACAGACAACCAATTTTTTTGCTTAAAAAATATTTCACGTGCTTAATTTTTAGTTAAAAACAAATCGATGATACCAAATTTTGCAGCATTTTTATTTTGAATCAATTTCATTAGTTCAAAAATTTTTTATTAGTTTATTTTTTTGTGGAATTTTTTTATCTAATCTCCAAAATTAATTTAATTTTTTAATTTCCAGAGACAAAATTTATAACGTGTAAAAATTCCCTAAAATTTTTTTGAAAAAAAAATCATTGTTATGGATAAATTGAAAATAATTATTTATTGAATTCTAAATAGTTCATTTATAGTAATTTTATAAATTACTGAAATTAAAATTTTTTTAATTGATACAATTTGTAAAAATCAATTCTTAAGAAATAATAAAAAATAAACTACAAAATTGTTATCACTTCTCGTTTGTAATAAAATCTTCAACTAAAATTTCTTTCGGTTGAATTTTTCAGATTTTTTTCTTTTTTACAAATAAATTTAAAATAAAAAAATTTTTTTAATTATCATTTGATTCAATTTAAAAAAACGCGCGTTGCTCAAATATAGCGAAGATGGCGCCAGGTTCCGGCAAGTGAATAAAAAAATTAACTATAAGACTAAGTCGCAATTTAACAACAATTAATCACCCAACGTGATTAAAATATAAAATTAGTCATTAATTAAAAATGTGCATCGCACAGAGGAACGATAAAGAACAGAGATAAAAAAAAAAGACAACAATAACAAACGACGTTAAGCCGCATCTACACGCGGTGTAAATGTAAGTTTAAAAATGAACCTTTAGAATAAGTACAAACAATTACAAGTACAACGACAGACATAGACAAGCATTCTTGATCATAATACATAGTTGTGTAATTGTATATTTCTTTGGCCATTAAAAATAATTTAATATTACAAATCACTCGAGATTTATCACTGTAACCGCAGAAGTAAAATTTTTTGTCTAGTGAAAAAAGATTGAAAAATTTCAACTGTAAAAATAATTCACACGTGTCAAAAATATTTTAGATCTTTTATTAAAATTTTTTAGTTTGTTAACTCAAATTTGTGACAGAAAAATAATAAACAATGAAGTAGTTGTTGACTTATTTTTATTTTCTAAGTAATTAATTTATTAAATTTGTGATTGTTTAACTGAGGTGAACAATTGATGGCAGGTTAGAAGATACTGAAAGCGACTAGATCAAATAATTATAAGTGAAAATAAAAATGAACGGATTTAGTACCGGTGAAGAGGATTCGCGTGGTGCATCCGACCAAATTTGTTGTCTTGTTGACGAAGGGGAGAGATGTTCCAGGCCTGCGGGTAATGCTTCTTACAGCAAGCGGATTCAAAAGACTGTTACTCAGAGACGTCTCAAATTAAATTTAGATCATGTGGTAAGACCTTCATTTTCATATTTATTTATTTATTGAATTTAGTTTTAGCGCTTAGATTATATTATTTAATTTTATTAATGCGTACTTCAATTTTTTAAGAAAGGGTTTGAATTTTAAATAGTCTTTAGGTATTAACTGGCGGTGGAGGAAATTTAAATTATATAATTTAAATTCAAACACAACCTTTTTATTCTAAATAAGAATAATTCTTCTTGAAAATATTTATTGTTTTTATTTATTAAAATATATAAATATTGATTACTAAAATAAAACAAAAAATCGCTTATTTAATGGGAAATTATTTATTTTTCTTTATAAAGTAATTTTTTTTTTTTTTTTTTTTTAATTCTATAAAATATTAAAATCAAATTGTTCTTTAACTTGTTTCAGCTTAAACTATTATTTATTTTTACACCTTCTCAACATTTATCAATGATTACGTTCTTGTCATATGAATATTATAAAACAAACAATTATTTTTTATATCTATGTAATTAGAATAACATAAGAAGATAAAATTATTTATTTAAATATAATTCGTTTAAACTTAGATTAAAGTTTAAAAAATATAGGAATATCAGATATAATAAGTAAGTTCAAAAATATTAGAAAATTAAAAAAAAAAAGATGTTTTTGTTCGTTTAATATTGATAAATTTTGAGAAAGTGTATAGATGAATAATAGTTTAAGTTGAAACAAATAAAAAATAGTTTGATTTTAATATTTTATATAATTAACAAAAAATTACTTTATAAAGAATAATAAATAATTTCCCATTAAATAAGCTAAGCGATTTTTTGTTTTATTTTAGTAATCAATATTTATATATTTTAATAAATAAAAACAATAAATATTTTCAAGAATAATTATTCTTATTTAGAATAAAAAGGTTGTGTTTGAATTTAGATTATATAATTTAAATTTCCTTCACCGCCAGTTACCTAAAAAAATTTACCTTACTGACAACTAATTTCTTACTTATGACTTAGAAGACTTAGAAGACAGATCAATTGTCGTTCTTTTGTAATGTTTCATGGGTTACAGTTTAATTTTTTTCATAAATATGATATTTAAATGTTTTAATGTGTGTATTTTATTATATAGAATTTACTATTATTTGACATATATTAAGTGTTATGTATGAAGTATTAAATGTATATAACTTGTTAAAGAGCAAGTTACTTTTTGAATTCCTTTACAATTATTACATTGGCTACATTTCTGTTCGGATCACTCAGATGACCCCAGATTTTGCAAATTTACTTGCAGTTTAATCAAATTTTAGATGTAACGTGATGCGGACATTTGACATTTTAAAGAAATTTTTTTTTTTTAATTTATAATTAAATTTTGATAGCTTTTTTTTATTGAAAAGAACAGATACCTATCTATTTTTAAAATTTTAATAAGAATATAGATGAGTGCTTAGAAATTAATTTTAAAATACCTATTCCATTTATACTATTTAAAAATTTCCAGCCATATAATTTTTTTTAATTTCCTTACTACTAATTTATTTGTTAAAAAAATTAGAAAATCGTCAGAAGTCGTCAATGCCATTAAAAAAATGAGAAAATTTTTTTATTTTCAAGAAGAAAGATATCAGAATAAATTTACAAGAATAGAACTGGAAGTTATTCAACAGACAATTGTTGTTTTCGGAAAAATTTTCCAGTTTTATTTTCTTCAATGAATTTTGAATATATTAAATAAATATGGAAAATTGCTTTCTAAATTGAACTAATTGAAAATTTTAAATCAGTGGATTTTTTTTTTAACTCGCAAAAAAACATTTTCTTGATGTTTGCTTTCTTTTTATTTTTATTTATGATACTGAAATCAGCAGATGTTTTAAAATTTTTTGATTTACTTTATTAATTAAATAAGAACTGAAAAAATATTTTTAAAAAATTGCACTTATAGTTTTTCATATCTTTTGCATGAGGAATTTTTTTCTTTATTTTCTTGTAATAACTATTTTATTTCTTGAAAGACATTCTAACAGCACTAAACTCTAGCCCCTAACAATAAAAGAAAGATGCCATTATAGTAGAGGAAATCTGCGTATTTTCTAGAAGGTCAAATAACTAGCTAAATTCTAATTTTACTCATTTTTGTAAATAATTTTCAAATGTAAAACTATATATTTTAATCTATGTAACTTTTATGTCAAATGTGTATTGAGGATTGTATCCTGTTTAACACAATAAATTATTATTATTATTATTATTATTATAATATTTTCTTGTAATAATTTTTTTAATAAGAAGAATCCTGAAATTGTCAAATTTCTGCTAATTTCAGTGTCATTTTTATTTGACTTTGAAAAGTCATTTGAGTAACATTTTTTAATTTTATAATTTCAAATGTATAAAATGATTTAAATAGTTTATTATCAAAAATCTTAAAAGTTTTTTTTTAAAATTACTACAATAAATTTATTAATTTAGTTTTAAAATGCTCATAAACATTGCAAATATTGTGAGCTTGATAAAAATTTAAAAAAAATAAATTTTAAGAGCAGAACGTAATTAAAAAAAATGTATTCTATATTTTCGTAATTTATGAGTTAATAATTTTTCAGATAAATTATTTCTATTTTTGTACTAGAAATTTATTTAACGTTTAACTAAAAAATTAATCAGGGTTAAATTTTAATTATAGACCGTTACTTATTAATTAATTTTTAATTTACAGGCAAGACATATTTACATATGTGATTTTCATAAACAAGTGATACTGTGCGCGAGATCAAAACAACAGCAACAGAGACGAAGAAAAGACTCAGAAGAAGATTCCGGTGAAACAGATAATGATGTACCAGATGTTGATTTATTCCAATTACAAGTCGGCACTTTGAGAAGATACAAAAGACACTACAAAGTACAGACAAAACCTGGGTTGAACAAAGCACAACTTGCTGATGTAATTTTTTATTTCATTTTATTATTTAAAAAATTCATAAATTTTTGGCTCTATACTTATCAATAAATGATAAATATTTTCTGTTACAGACACTCATGAAACATTTCAAAACAATTCCAGTATCTGAAAAAGAAGTATCAAGTATATTTATTTACACCGTAAAAACTAACGCCAATAAACTAGACCAAAAAAACGGTGTTAACAGTGATACAACGTAACCATTAATTTATTATTTTACCGCAATAATTGTTAAAATTAATTTCCCTTAGAAGTAAAAAATTGATAAGCAAATATACTTAATAAATACTATTCAATTAACTATAATTTATATTCTTTTTAAATTGTTAACATATTAATTTACACAAACAAAGTAATAATAAAAATAAGTCAAAAATACTTTGAGACTTTTTTATTGAAAATTAATATTACAATTAGTGTTATTATTATAGAATGTCTTCTTGTTCGCTGTCAGTTAGTACTAGAACAGAAAAAAATTTTTTTATTTAAAACTTAATTTCAAAAAATTATTATGACTTAAATCCACAGTCTTAATTTTGATTTAAATAAATTTTATTATTCATCTTTTGTATTTACTGTACCAATATGATTGTAGTATTTTTTTATATAGAAAATTGAATTATAAAAAAGGATGTCATTTCTTTTTATCGAAAATTTAATGTCATCGAATTAAAAATTTATTAGAAAAAAATTTCGGATCAGAAAAATATCTATTGTTCATAATGAATATTGTTTATTTTTTTATTGATTATCAATAAGTTGAAGTATGATAAACTTCAGTCATTTCATTCTTAAATAATTAATTAAATAAAATTATATAATTAATATTTTCGATAATTGAATTATAGATTGGAAAAATTTATACAAATAAAAATATAATTAAATTTACATTAATTTTGTATAGAAGTTGAAAAATAAATATTGTTGATTTTCATCGAATTCCAAAAAAAATTTCATCATCTATATTTATCATTTTTTTTTTTTATTATTCAGTAAATATTAAATTATTTTTAATATTTTTATACTGATTTTTAATCAAAATTATTATTTTATGTTATCACATTTTTTTTTTCTTTCACGAAAATTGAGTGTTCTAAAAAATTGATAGGCTCATTACAAGTCTAAGCAAAAGACCGTGATTTTGACTATTAATTTAAAAAATAAATTATAATTAATAATATTTATATAAATAATTTACCTATTTCACCAAGAACTTTATTAACCTTTGTAACTTTTAAAGTTTCAATATCATTGGCACTAGTACCATCATCATCTTCATCGTCAGAAGAACTAACCCACGAATTTTTGAGACCTTCACCAACACTTGTACTCTGAAATATTAAAAAATTTTAGTTAATCTTCTATATAATTAAGAGAATAAGGAAAATTTTATCTCCGGTGTATTTATATGATAAAATGAGTTGTTCAAATTAAATTTAGTATCAATAGGAATGTCTTGACCTGAATATGTGACTTTTTAATATTTCACATGCTTTTCAGCAACAGTTAATTTATTACAAGTTTTCGGAGCGTAAATTATTTATTTTGTCTTGTACATGTGAATGTGGTTATTTGTCAAAAACTAATTATAATTAAGAGACTAAGAAAAATTTTGTAACAGGTACAGCTTTATCCTAAATTGGTTTTAGAATTTTTTCAGTGATAATCATTTATGATTTTAATAATGGAGAGAGTAAGGAAAATTTTGGGTAAATATGTAAAAGTGGGGTCCGCCATTTTAATTTTCATTTTTGTGAACGAAATTTCTATTTGATTTTATTGATATATTTTTTTTTTGAAAAATACATAAAAAAATGAATTGAAAAAACAAAAGTTGATTATCACAATTATAACGAATTTTCAAAAAAATTTATAAATTTTTTAGAAAATTGTGATATTCAACTTTTTTTTTTTTAATTGTTCGTTTTTTTATGTACTTTTCAAAAAAATATATATCAAAACCTTAAAAAAAAAATAAAATTTTAATTTTATCCAAAAACATGAGGGCCAAAATTTTTTCCAATTTTTGAAGGTAAAAAAGCTATCGAAATCTTTATTTTTTTCTTTCACGGCATTTTTTATCATAAAGGCGCCGTAAAAACAAGCAGAATAAAAAGAAATAAAAAAATGTTAATTTTTCACCTAGATATGGCCAAAAATAGGGTGGACCCCACTTGTAAATAATTACCAAACTTTGTGATGATCATATTATTATTTTGAAGAGAATTTTTATAGTTAAATTTGGTATCATCAAAAAGGTCTTGATAAGAATTTGTGCCTTCTCACGGTTATTTTATATATTCATCAGTGATAGTAAATTTTGTATGTTAAGTTTTTGGAGCAGTTTTGAATAGTTTGATAGTTCTATAAATTTGTTCCGTCACATTTGTCCATTAGATTATTTGTAATTGATCCTGTGATAGCATTATTATTTTCAAAATTCATTTTAAAAGTACCCTAGTTATGTATAGTGTAATTCAAAATATCAAAAAATCATTTAGCTAAAGTTTTCTTATTCATAATTTGTAAATCTCAGTAGTCGCATCGTGACTGCAGGTTGCTAATTCTACATCAATAAAAAAAATTATAAATTACCATTTTGGTTATCAATTCCGCGGATCTCAAGCCGACTTTTCGCACTTCATCACCAGACTCGTCCATCTCCACATCATTATCTTCATCATCATCATTATCATCATTATGATCATTTTCATCATTGCAATCCATTTTTGGATATTTTTTCTGGGCCTCTTCCTCTTTGATCCTAGTGTTCCATTGGGACAATTTTATAGGCATCTTCTCTCTGAACATACTTATTTTATCACTAGATATCGCATCCTTAAATCTATTAATTTTGCAAGGTTCCTTTTTGTACCTAAAAAATTTATCAAGTTAGAGTTATGAGAAGTTTATAAATGATGGTTTATACTCACTAATTATATTTATTAAAAAAGATAATTGATTTTAATACCTCGTTTGTACGTCAAGAGTAACAGCATCACGAATCTGTTTTATAACATTTATAGCGTGGTTAGCTGCTATAGATTTTACAGAAGCTGAAACGTCTGTTGAGATTTTAGACAATGATGATTTATCAGCGAATGACAAATTTACAAATTCATGATACGCATTTAAACCCATCGTTAGTTGCGTAACGCCCAGTCTTTCTTCAATGTATGTCGGGTCCATTATTGTTTTTCCACTGGAATTAAAATTCAATTAATTATTATGTTAGACTGTGTAATTTTATATTGTGTAATTTTTTTCTAAAGTTAAGAAAATTTTATTGTCAAAAATTATTTAAAAAAAAATTTTTTTCATTCATAAATTTGTCTTTCCAGTTTTTAGAGTAGTGAATTATTTGAAATTTATAGAAGAACAGCAGATAGAATCTTTATAAATTAAGAGAAAAAAAAATTTTTTTTTCTATTTATTTTTACTGAACAAATTAAAAAACTGAAACAAAAAATATAAATTGTGAGTATTTAATATTTTTCTTTGTTAATGTTGAAATACCAAATTTTTCAACTTCTTATTGTGAGGATTCATTCGTGACGGCTGTTTTATTTCGAAAGCGGAATTCGCATTCAGATGTGAAGAATGCAAAAAACTTAGAAGTCATTAAAAAAAATTTTTTTGATTATCTTTTGTTATCTGATTTTAAATTAATTCGAAGAGCTTTCCTTTATTTTAAGTGTATTGTAATTATTATATGTGAGTGATTAGACTCAATTGATCCTATAATTTATTTACAATACCGAATCATAGCCATTATTTCAGTTAAATATAAATATATTGTTCTATATTTAAATTATTTATGTTCAACTTACTATTTTATATCTTGGCAAATTTTTTTATATATTTTTTCTGATAATATATTGTAAATTAGTTCATACTTTTTATAATTAATGTACTTATAGTTTAAGTTTACATTGCTAATTATCATAAGACTAACTATATTTATAATTTTTTGCCTAGCTTTCATCTTAGGGTTTTTTTTAATGAATGAAAAAATCATTTTTTTTTTAAATAAAAGGAAAATTTTCATTCATTGCTTTTTAAATTTACTTTGTTAGAAAAAGAAAAAGACTTTTTTCTTAATTGTACAAAATTTTTAAAGTTAAGTATCGAATAATATCTTAATAAATAAAAATTATAATTATATCCGTAACATTTAAAAAATAATTGATTATAATTTTATGAATTTCCATGAAGAATAATTTTTAAGAAATAAAAATTTTCACAGTAAGATGAATATTTTTCTACTATCTTAATTCTCAAGAATTATTTTTGAAAGTTAATTAAGTTTAATATTTTTTTTAATTATTGATAACTAGCAACCTTGCAGTCACTATGTGACTGCCGTGAATCGTGAGCGATAAAAAATTAAAATTTTGCTTCATTAAATAATGACTTTTGTTAAATTGCACTGTACTTTCTTAAATATTGACGTTTTTAAAGATATAAGCTCATCCTAATGTTACACTCATCAAGAGCTTTCATTTGAGTACCCACATGCGTTTCGATGAGTGTAACATCGGGATGAGCTTATATCTTTAAAAATGTCAATATTTCACACGATAAGTCATTCCTTAATTATGTATCTAGAGATAGAGCATTTTCGAATGCAGCCTAAAAACTTTAATTTATCATAATAAATTGACTGTCAGTGAGAAAGAAATGAAACCGTGAAAAGGCACATTATTAATATTATTATTAGTATGATTATAAATATTTTTGAGAATTATAAATAGGAGCTTACTTTTCAAACGTTGAAAATGAAACACAAACAGGTTGATGAAATAATGTTAAAGGTAATGGATCCTTTTCAGCAAATGAGTGTATAATAACATCATCTCCAGTTGAAGTTACATCAGGACGATGAAAATGTGATAAAGCAGCCAAGGTTGCTATACTAGCGCAATCAACCAAGTTACCATCGTGATTGATTACATTTATGTCGACTCTGATATTCCATACCTGTAAATAGAAAATTAAATTAAAAATTTAAAAATTATAAAGCATAAACAATTCTGAATGTTTATAAAATTCATAGACTTTACAAGAATTTTAAATAGGGAAGTATTGAATAAAAAATTTTAATTTTCAGAAAGTCGCAATGAAAGTATTTTGAATTTTATAAACTGATGTGTAATAAATAGAAAAATAGTTATTCCGATAAATAAAAAGAATTACTAAAATTTTATGATAATAGAATTAAAAGTCCAACATTTTTTTTATTTTTTAGACATAACTTACTTTAAAATATTTGGAAAAAAAAATTCCGTAGATAGAAATTTGAATAAACTATCAATGCAAATTTTTATGTATATAAATTCTAAGCTCTTTTTTAATTAATTAATAAAACTAACAAATTATCAGATGTCTGCTAATTTCAAAATCACTAAATATTTTTTATGCTTCTAAAAATGATTTAAAGTTTATATAAAAAACTTTTGTGTACTGATACTTATTTATTTTTATAACTAACTGGCAATAATTACTTTTTTATCTGCGACAATGCACAAAGATTCCATGTCAAGGCACCTAGAGTCCTTGAAACATCTTTCTAATTGCCTCGTTAAAGCTACACCGACTTCAGATTGTCTTCCAGCTTCAAAGTGTGCTGCTGCCAGCGGATTTAACTCAACATTTATGTACAACAATCCTTCATTTGGACGAGATAACTTTGGCTGCTGAATATCACAGGATACATTTGCTATAACTCTGATGAAAATTGATAAATATAATTAATAAACATTTATGGAATTAAATTATAAATATAACGAACAATACTTGGGAGAATAGCAGAGAATTTTTAATTGGAAAAAAAAAAAAAAAAAAAAATTAATTAATTATTGATACTTGAGCAGACACGTTATCATTTTTAGGTTTTGAAAAATAAATCAATACGAAAAAAGAATTGTTTTTTAATTACATTTCATTATTTTTTTAAATTTCTATGAAAACTAAGTTAGCATATATTTAATCATTTTAATTATTTTATAGCAAGTAAATTATGTGAAAACAAAAAAAAATTGACATGTAGAAATTTAAAAAAATATAAAATGCAATTTTTTAAAAATAATTTTTTGGAACAAATTTTTTTGCTAAATAAAATTAAAAAAACTGTCTAGTTACTGCTAACTTAAATATCATGAAATTTCTACAAGTGGAACTTTTTTAAAGCTTTGTTTATTTATTTAATAAAAAAATTCCTGAAAATTGTCCAACGTCTAATTTTATTAAAAAAAAAGATTTTTTATATTTTTTTTATTAATTAAAAAAAAAGATGGTCTGCTAAATAAAAACCTTTATTACCTTGTTTGTCCCAACGAAGCTAAACACGATCCCCAGCTAGATCCAAAGTGTAATTTTAATTTTCTTGCTTCGTTTAATTTTCTGCCATCAAGTCTCTAGAAAAATTTAATTAATCAAAAATTAATTATTGTAACAAAATGTAATAGAAATAAAATAAAAATGATAACGTTGAATTAAATCTTACGATATTTTCGTCTAAGGCAGTATTTATAAATTTTTTCTCGCATTTTGTGATTAATACTTCCTTCATTGTTTATAATTATCGTAAATAATTCTGGATGTATAAAATTATAGTTTTTATTTATTTTGCTGCATAAACATAACCTTCAAAAACCCACGAGGACCATAAATATGACGGTTGTTTTCATGTTAAGGTTTCTTCAGAGAAATGATTTTTTTTTATTGGTCAGTCTAACGTTTATCTTCCGTTGATCTAGATATCTGAATAAATATACGCTCACAAAAACATTTTGATTTAAATTTTTTCGCAGTAAAATTAAGAATTTTATAAAAAAATAAATAATTGTAAAATATTCAACTTTAAATGTAACAGACATAAAATTTTTTAAATTTTAGGTAAATAATATTCTAAGCGACAAATTTTTTTTTGTTAAGTTGACAATTATAAATTTCTGACTTCTTGTTTTTATTAAATAAAATCTCCCAAAAAGTCAACATTTTTTTTGTGACGCTTGGATAAACAAAATTTTAAAATAAAAAAAAATTTAACGATTTTGATATGATTCTGCGAGACATTGAATATTTTTTAAAAATTTTGTAACAAATAAATAATAGTAATCAAAAATTAGGAAAAAAAATGGGGTCATCTGAGTGATCCGAACAGAAATGTAGCCAATGTAATAATTGTAAAGGAATTCAAAAAGTAACTTGCTCTTTAACAAGTTATATACATTTAATACTTTATACATAACACTTAATATATGTCAAATAATAGTAAATTCTATATAATAAAATACACACATTAAAACATTTAAATATCATATTTATGAAAAAAATTAAACTGTAACCCATGAAACATTACAAAAGAACGACAATTGATCTGTCTTCTAAGTCTTCTAAGTCATAAGTAAGAAATTAGTTGTCGGTAAGGTAAATTTTTTTAGGTAACTGGCGGTGGAGGAAATTTAAATTATATAATCTAAATTCAAACACAACCTTTTTATTCTAACAAATAGACGTCAAAACTTGCTGTACAAGTATTTCCGTCAAATTGTAGTAAAGTTGAAAGGAAATTTAACTATAAGTTTGATTGTTAACTTGTATTCAAGTTGCGGCCGTAGATTTCCGTCAATTTGCTTACAACTGTTGTTGAGTGAAGAATTACCGCCAACTTGATGTATAAATTAACCGTAACTGCTGGAAGTCAACACTTACTGAGAAAGCGCTGGCTATCAGGGTAATTTAAATTTCCTCCACCGCCAGTTACCTGAAAAAATTTACCTTACCGACAACTAATTTCTTACTTATAACTTAGAAGACTTGGAAGACAGATCAATTGTCGTTCTTTTTTAATGTTTCATGGGTTACAGTTTAATTTTTTTCATAAATATGATATCTAAATGTTTTAATGTGTGTATTTTATTATATAGAATTTACTATTATTTGACATACATTAAGTGTTATGTATGAAGTATTAAATGTATATAACTTGTTAGAGAGCAAGTTACTTTTTGAATTTCTTTACAATTATTACATTGGCTACATTTCCGTTCGGATCACTCAGATGACCCCAAAAAAATTTCACATGAATAAAAATGATGAAAAATTAGAAATGTAATTTTTTTTTAATGATCTATTGGAAAAAATTTATTCGTTAAATAAAATTCAAATCAAGTCAATTGTCTGCTAATTTCAGTGCCATGATTCTGAAAATATGAATTTTTTTTAGAAGCAAATAAATTAATTTTTTTAAAATTAAATGAGCATGTAGAAAAAATTTTAATAAATGAAACTGAGTACAATTTTTTGAAAATTTTATTTTTGTCATAATTGAAATTCTGGCTTAGTAAAATTGTCTGATAATTTAATTCTCATAATTAGAAAATAAAAAGATTATGTAAAATTGATGCTTTAAAAAATTATTTTCTAAAATTTAAAAAATCAATTTTTAGATAATCTATGATCTCTATACTATAAATCTACGTAGACAATTGTAAATCAGCCTTTAATCTCAAGTACTAAATAGAGTCTATCTCACATTTTCTATAAATTTCATCATTTTTTACAACTGCAAAAATTTAATTCCCATTAATAATCTTGACATTATTTAACAATATATTTTTGCTCAACAAAATATCAAAGGTAATTATTTTAATTCATTAGAATTGGTACCAATCAATATTAAGTACTTTAAAATTAATTTCAAACTTTCGTATTTTAGGTTAGAGATAGCCGCAATTTATTTCCTTATTCGGTTAAATAAATATTAAATAATAAACAATGACTGATTTGTTTGGAAACACCAATTTTGATGAGCCTAAAACTCCCAAGTCAGGTGTGGACAATGAATTAAATGAATTTATAATGATGGAGAAACAAAAGGCTCAGTTAACAGCTCAGGTGACTTAACTTTTATTACGTTTTTCCAAATAATAATCCATTAAAATTTGATTATTTTAATTTCAGCTAACAATTATACAAATCAAAGAATTGTATACTAATTAATTTAAAATATTTTTAAGTCAACTTTTTGTTTTACAATTTAATCAATAATGCGAAAATTATTACTACTTATCTATTGTTAAGAATTTTTTTGTCAATTTAATTAAAAAAAATTTCAGTAGATTGAATGAAATTTTGAATAATTCGAAGATTAAAGGACATCTGAAAATTCTCATAAATTTTTTTCTTGAATGTAAATGGTTGAGAAAACAATTTTATTAAATTTTACATAGGAAAATATTAAAGAATTATCAATATAATTTTTAAAAAACATTTACTTATCAGTAATTAGTTTTTTAAATACAACAAAAAGTATCTAATGATTTCAAAATTATTTAAAATTTCAGCTTAAAATTAAAAAAATTGCAAAATAATTTTGATATATGTTTAAGTGCAATTTTCTAATACTCAGCTTAAAAAAATTTTCCAAAGCATTTAGTAAAAAATTTTTTTTAAAGCTGACGGTATTTTGCTAATCTGATTAATTTGGAAATTTCTCATTTGTAATGTTAAATTCATATTTTAATGCAAACATTCATTCTTTCGTACTGGTTATAAAAATAAAATCAATAAAATTTGTAAATCGTTTAATTATAATAGAAAAAACACTACAAAAAAAAAAAGTTTTTAAAATTTTTTCATTTCTTATTTCGCAATTTTTTAGAATCTTTTTTTTCAAATATAACATTTAAAATGATTAAAAAATTACCGGTCTGCTAGTTTCATATTAACAAATTGTAGTGTGATTTAGTTTTAATGATCACGAGATCTTTAATTGATAATTATTATTTATTTTAATACAATATTTCTCTCAATTTTTTTCTTGAAATATTTTATTAAATATTTATAATCAAAAAATTAAATTTTCGAAAATTAGTAAAAATAAGTGATATTTTAGTTATGACTAGAATGAAGAAAAAAAAATGAAGTAATTAAGACGAGATTTTTTTTTTTTTCATAATAGGGTTAGATTTATTAATATTTGATAGACTAATTTGAATTGAATATTTTACAGATTCACGAATTCAATGATTTTTGCTGGGAAAAGTGTGTTGACAAGCCTGGAACAAAATTGGATGGCAAGACTGAAACCTGTTTAAATAATTGTGTCGACAGATTTATTGATGTATCTTTGTTAATCACCAATCGATTTGCACAGTTACTCCAGAAGTCTGCTGGAGGAATGTAATCATCTAATTAAAAAATATAAACATTAATTTGTATAAATAAATCACGAAATTTCCCCCTAAATAATTGATGTTTATAATTTTGAATAAATGTTAGTTTATAGAAAGGTTAAAGAAAAATATGTTATTGAATAAAATGATCTAAAATTGAATATTTGTATTATCATAATTTTTTTTTTCTAAAATAATTCTGCAATTAGAATATTATAAGTAGGGTAATTAAGCCAGTCCGTGACCGAAGACTATTGAATAACCGGTTTGAAGAAAACCCGGGAAAAAAAGATCAGACAAACATACATGAGTCTTTATATAAATGATTGTAATAATTATAAAATTTAACTGACAGCCAATAATTCGTATTCTCAGCCTCACATATTTCTTGTAATATTCAATTGCCACGTAATAAGTTATTAGTGCGAGAAAGTATTGTTAAAAGCTATTTATTCATTTTATGTCGGTTATTCACTGATGGTTCACTTTGTACTAGGATTTCGGAGTAAATGACTGACTGGTCGATCGTTGTTAGGTAAGATGTTTGTCAATACCAGTAAATGACCGCATGTTTATTTACCTAATTGTCTTAAGATATTTATAATTCTATATAATTATATTAATTATGTATAATGACGATTTTCATTTTTGTAGAATTATATAAAATTATATGTAAGACCTTATGATTATATAAAATCATAGATATTGGCTGCGTTCAGATTTACTCTAAGTTCTGAGCAGGGGTGACTTTATCTACCAATGAATTAATTTTCGACACACTTAAATATACCTTCCAATGTTTTATTATAGATTTTTTTAAAAAATAATATAATCGTTACTTTAAGTTGTTGCTACAAGATACGCTAAGATCTGCCAAGAACTTAGTAAACTTGAGCGCAGCTATTTTTTTATAATTATGTATAATGTTGTTTGTGATATTTTCTTTATTATATAGAATTATGTATAACACATGATTATATATGGAATTGTATATGAGGCCATATATAATTGAATTAAATGAAATTGAACACTTTAAATTAATAATAATTGAATTTAAAACAAAAATGAAAAATTTCAAATTAATGAGAGTGGATTGTTATATCCATCACGAAAAAATATAAATAATTTCATGTTATATTAAACTAGGACCGAGATTTATTTTTTTTCCAAAGTGGTCATTGTTTACTCTTGGGTACCGGATGTACAACATCAATATCAAGATAACTGTGGCAATACCTGGGATACCGAAGGCACTAAACAAATAAAAATATTATAAAAATTAAAATCTAATAATCTAATCTTATCCTAATAATTTACAAAATTACGTCTAATAATTGAAAATAAAGAAAAGTAAAATTACTTTAGGTCAGTGATGCCAGATGAACGATGCCCACAAAAAGCCCAAAGTAATACAATGATAGCGATACTCCAACCTAACTGGTATGTCCACGAAGCTTGCAGATGTTCCCGTCATTTTTTGTCATCCTCTGGAATATACAATGAAATAAATAAAAATTCACATCTCTAACTTTATAAATTTGTTAAAAAAAAACTTACGTTTTTATATAGGTTCTGGGTTCTGGGTTCGAATTCCCGCTTCACAGCATTATTTATATTTGTTAAAAAAATGTGGAACGCTTCACGATTTTGCGTGTCATC